TACTATAAAAGTCAAGAAAAGGTGTACTCGCAGAAAGAAACATTCTTTGAAGGGTACTAGGGGTGGGAATGGAAGGGAGGGTAAATCACTAACTAGAGAGCAGACACATATTAACTTGGGTGAAGGGAAAGGCAATATACAATAATGGAGAGGTCGGCACAAAATGCCCGAGGCAAAAGGAGACATGGGAGGAGCACAAGAGTTAGAGGCAACAGAGGTAAATACTATTCCATACACCATCCTGCAGTAACAGTAGTAACGATTATCTATGTGTGAATACGTAGACACTCAATCTGAAGGTGAATGGGACTACTCTCACGAATACAGGTTTGGCAGAGAATATTCAGACATATGTATCTATATGTGCTGTAAATATATTAATGTAAAGTGTACAGGGGACAAAGTTAGGAAAACTTCTTAGCCACAACCAAACAGCTTGAAGGAGTGAGTCACTGGGCCTTAGGGCCATAGTCTTGGGGGACATCAAGGTCAACTGGCGTAACAGTCCACAAAGACAAAGTTCTACATCCTACTTTGGTAAGCAGTGACTGGGGTCTTGAAAGCTTGTAAGTGGCCATCTAAGGTTCAACTGTTGGTTTTTCCCTGTCTGGAGCAAAGAAGAGTGAAAACAATCAAAGATGCATGGCAACAACTAGCCCAAAGGACTAACGGACCACGTGAACCCCAGGCTCCATGACCCTGAGACCAGAAGAACTAGATGGTGCATGGCTACCACTGCCAACCACTTGGAAAAGGATAACAATAGGAGGTCCTGGATAGTGGGAGAAAAATGTGGAACAAAACTGAAAATAAAACAATAGACAAGGCTTACTGGTCTGATAGAAACAGGTTGAACCCTCCAGACTACAGCCTTTAAACACCCTTCAAGCCTGAACGGTACATACCCCCTTGGCTCAAATTTCAGTCAAACAACAGACAGGCCTGTAAATGAACAATAACATCAGGAAGGTACACACTCCTTGGAACAACCAATCAATCATATGACATCCAAAGGGCAGCATTTGATTAGGGATAAAGCTCAGAAGGCAAGAAGGGATAGGAAAAAAGGATGAATGGAAACGTAAACACAGGGAGGAAGAGAGAAGAGTGACGCTACATTGTGGGGACTACAATAATGACATGGAACAAAATGTGTATGAACTGTTGAATAGAAAACAGATTTGCTCTATAAACTTTCACTCAAATCACAATATAAAGTTAAATAATTAAATAGTCCATCCCAGGGGCTCTGATGGCGTAATGCCTAAGGCTTTTGACTACTAACACTACTAACCAGAAGGCTGGTGATTCAAACCTGCCAGCCACTCCTCGGAAGGAAGACTGGGAAACGTACTTCCATAGTGATAACACCTTGGAAACCCAAGGATCTGACTCTATAGCAGTGAGTTTGGTTTTTACTCTGAGAAGACAAGCATGTACTTGGTTATGAATTATCTTCTGTTGTGGTTGGACTTTGAGGATCTGCATCCATAAGCAAAGCCCAATCCAGAGCATCAAACTGCAGCAGTCTACACCAACTAGTGCCTAAGGCACTTGACTGCTAACCAGAAGGCTGGCGGTTCAAACCTACCAGCCACTCCTCGGAAGGAAGGTTGGGCAATCTACTTCTGTAGTGATACCGTCTCAGAAACCCAAGGAGGGGTCGCTAAGAGTCGGGTCACAGCACATAACAACTCATGGTGTCAAATACCAGGCTGACTGGTCTATTTCATTTGGTGAGGTTCTGGTCCTCTCATTAATGGGCACCACTCATAGGCTCAAGGTCCACACATTCCTCGCACTTCAGACCAACCAGCCCCTTCTCTCTCATCCCTAGCTCCCATGGGTGCCAAAAGAGAACTGTCCAAACTCAGGCCATCTCTTCATTGCTATGCCTCCGACTTCCACTCATCTCGTGGCCCCAGGTGGTCATATCAAGCAAGCATACTAGGCTGTCTGCTCACCTGCTCCCTTTAACTTCTAGTCCTGGAAAGGAGTTCCTCTGATGGACACTACCTTTTCCTGCCTTGTTGTTATGTGCCGTGGAGTCGGACCCAACTCACAGCGACCCCTCCTTGGGTTTCTGAGGTGGTATCACTACGGAAGTAGATTGCCCAGCCTTCCTTCCCAGGAGTGGCTGGTGGTTTTGAACTGCCAGCCCTCTGAGAGGTTAGCAGTCAAGTGCCTTAGGCACTAGGCTACCAGACCACAGGGAAACTGCTTAATCAACTTTCAAAAAGCAAAATGTCTTTTTCCTTGCAGGTCCTTCCTTCAAATGCAAATCTCCTGTTCTCTCAGCATTCCAGGGTGGATGGAGATGAAGGCCTTTTCAAATGCAAATTTCCTCACTGGAAAGACTCTGGGTGGGGCTCAGGTTTTCAACCTAAACCCCTGTAGTCTATACACAGGACCACTGGACTGAAACAAACAGCCTGTGTTTCTTTCGAGCAAATTCTATCCTAGTTCCCCTTCTAGCATAACCAAACAAGTATTGATTGAAGGGACTGAAGGCAGAGTTACAGTACTTATTTTCATAGATGCAGGTCTGTTTTACAACTCTAGATTGGAAAAACTCTCTACACCTTGACTGGCTTCCCACTCACATGCATACGGCCATGGGACTCTGGCTGGGCGGAACCTGAGACCGGGGCCCCCATCAGTCACCTTGACTGGCCTGGCTTTTGCCCTAAACTCACTACCATCCAGTCGATTCAACTCATACAGGTGGCATCTCCACAGAAGTAGATTGCCCAATCTTTCTTCTGAGGAGCAGCTGGTGGGTTTGAGATGCCAGCCTTCTGGTTAGCAGTCAAGTGCCTTAGGCACTGCGCCACCCCACGCCACTTCAAATGCAGCTTTTCTCCCCGCTCAGTGCAACACAATTCTCTCTCTTTCCTTTAAGCCATGTAGTAACAACTTAAGTTACCATCTAAGAATCAGGTTTCACTTCCTACACACCTTCCAATCTTTCTCTTCCTGAGTCCCTTACTTTCATGAGTCTGGAGCCACTGCAGTGAACCCTTCTGATGCCAACTGTTAAAAAAAATAACGGTGCCAACTGTAAAAATGGCGTGGCAGCAGCATCTGATCTTTACCTTCACAAGGGAGATTGCTATGAGGAAGAGGTCAGACGTAACTCCTCTTTTTATCAATTGACACCAGCTGCCCTTCCCACATCACTGTTTCTCTGCTGGGGTCAATATTTATTGCAATGACCACAGAGACCTTACAGATCATGCTCACAGTTATGAGGTTTATTAGAGAAGTTTAATAGTTTACAATTCAGCATCACGTTCAACTCAGTATACAGTTCATTAGTCAGGACAGCTTCTGGACCAGGACCACTGAAAGGCATCTCCATGTTCCACTGTTAAGTGCTCTGAGGCACTCCACTCTACCAGTAAGCCTTGACCCTAGGGTGCTCAGCCCTCTAGTTCTGTGGGTCATCGAGCTTAACTCTGCTAAGTGTCTGGAGGCACCCCACTCCACCAGGAAGCTTCCTGCCCAAAGGCACTCAGCTTTCTCCCTCTGTTGGGCCCACACACGCACTGTAACCACCTTGCTCCATGGGCTGGGAAGCCCACTGTGGCATCCTGTGCCAGTCTCTTGATTCTGGTGTTATTTCTCACCATCATGCACCTTTCCAGTGTTACAGCTATCTCCTGGGTCTAGGAGGTTCTCAGTGCAGGGACCCTGGGTCCAAAGACACGATCCACTCCCATCTCTTCTTCTCGGGGGTAGTGAGGTCCCTCCCTTCCCACCTCTGGGATGCCTCATTTTTAGCCTAGCAGGATGGCCAAACTAACCCATCCCCTCGTTAGGGTTCTGAATGCTGTATTCGCATGGTTCCACCCCCAAAAGGGTGTCAGGCATCTTATTTGCAAGCTATCGAATCCCCTTGGTGGGTCACAAGCATCTCATCTGCAGAGATGCACCCATTTGGTGGGATTTACAAGACTATGGTAGAAAAGGCCATATAAAAGGGATCCATTGCACCATGCATCCCTGCACTATGGAACAGGTCTGCATGTACATCTGGCAGTCCCTAGTTAGCTGCAAGGGGATAAGGCACTATTTGTGGATATTTCTAAAGAGGAAGGATTGTTCAATGATAGAGGCTGAGGGTTGTTTGTGGCTAGCCATTTCCTGAAACAAAAGGGGTTTGATGGGATGCTTTCTGAAGTAAAACTTGCCATCATGGTCTTTATCAAGGGAATGGCTACAATGGGTAAAATTTTCTCACGTGGGTCATCAAATTTCAAATTTTAGAGCTGCAAGGTATCTTAAAGGTCATCTAGTCATGCTGATTCACCCCCATCCAGAGTCTATTTAAGGAATGGAAAAACTCAAGAGTAGTTTGGTGTCTTAAGCCTTAGCAAAGTTTAGAAGCAGAATTAGAAACAAATTTTCCTGAATACTAGGGCCATGAATATAACCATCATGTTTCTAAAAAAAAATAGTAATAAAGCAAAGAAAGTACAGTTTGTAGCAGCATAATCAACCAGTCCTCGCTGGGCTTACTGGTTGGGGATGCCCACAGCCAGAACTGCTTCTTCAATAAGAGCCCTCCCTGTCTATATCCAGGGACTCAGGCACTTGGGGGCCCTTACCTAGCATTGTTGTTGGTATGTGCCGTCAAGATGGACCCAACTCAGAGTGACCCCTCCTTGGCTTTCTGAGGCGCGGTATCTCTACAGAAGTAGATTGTCCAACCTTCCTTTCAAGGAGGGCTGATGGGTTCAAACTGCTAGCCTTCTGATTAGCAGTCAGGTGCCTTAGGCACTGCGCTACCAGAGCTTCTTTACCTAGCATAAGGGATGGGTTTTGATTGGTTTCTGTTGTTGACAGGTGCTCAAGTAGATTCTGACTCATAGTGACTTCAAGTGACAGAGGAGAACTGCTCCACAGGGTTTTCCCATTGCCATGACCCCCACTCCATCCCTGTCATAAGCACCAAATGGCAGGGGAAGGTAACTGAAAGTAACCACTATCACACAGAGCTGAGAAAAGCCAGCATAAAGCACTTTTATTGCAATAATAAAACTTGAAACTTATATGTGGTGCAGAAGGTGTGGGGGTGGGGGCAGCAACAACTTCTCTCACCAAATCACTACACAGGACAGCAAAGGGGTGAGAGCAGGAAGGAAAAGCCAGGAAACTTTGAGATCAGCAGGGAGAGCTGAGCATCAAAAATCAGGAGATGCTGAAGCTGCGATGACCAGCATCATTTTCTTAGAGAACAATCAAGAATTTGTCATGATGGCTGGGCTTTCATTTGGGTATTAAGTGTCTACAAACAGCACCTTCAATTTAAACTTTCAATTAAAATTCTTAAAATTTAGGAAGTGGTGGAGCTCTGACAGCTATAAGATTACAAAAGTCCTGAAAATCCTTTAGAAAAACCACAGGATGGCAAAGAAAAAAAAATATGTAAGCCAGGCCACAAAGAAGGCTTCAAAGGTCCCTGCTGGCCCGGGGACAAATACCTGTAGTGTCCAACACCGCAGTGAAAATAATCTGCTTTCAAAAGGCAGCAGCTTTAAGGGGAGGGTGGGGTGGGGCTGGTGGAGGCAAAGGCTCTCCCCTTCCCCATTTTAGTTGTGGGTAGGGCTTTTAATCCAACCCAAAGACATCTCTCAACTTGGAGAATAACTCAGCCCTCAACAGCGCCTCACATCTGCTATGGCTTTGCAGCACAGCAGCAAGAATGCTTAATATATAATAAAAATTTTATCCAAAAAAAATAAAATAAAATAAAAGTTTCTTGCACACCCCCCTCCCCAATACCAATTCCTATCCTCAAATTAACCCATTGTTGTGCTGTTAATACTGGATCATATGCTTGAGTGGAAACCTAGATCCAAAAGACTGAAACGGAATCTTCACCCCAAAACCAGAACAAAATAAACTAAGTAATCTGAGGTCGATGGCATATAGTTTAAGTCAACATACATACAAGGAGAAGGGGGAAAAGGAAACGGAGGTGTCGGAAGCAAAGCCGAGTGATAAAACACATTCAGTCGGGGTAGATGTTTATACAAAGAGTATAGTGGAACATCAAGGAAAGCTCCGTACGGAGTCACGTGCGCATGTCTGGAGGCGCCAGATCCCTCCATGGCAGATCTGTTGGGGACAGAAAATCTGTAAGTGCCAGCAACTCAGTGCCCTGTGTGTACAGTGGGGAGAGCTACAACCCCCTTAACCTCTGCCAAGGCCCTTCCCCAATAACCAAGAGGTTTTACTGAGATTGAACCAGCCCACCAGTACGGGCTTATAATACTGTTCCCCGTTACCACTGGATCTCCAACTTGGCTGCATTGTGGAATCACCTGGGAATTTTTAAAAACATCACAATGCTTGGACCCTACCCAGCGATAGTGATTAACTGGCCTAGGGTGTGGCTTGGGAACATGGGGGAAGAGTCAAGCCAGAGCGACTGGCAGCCTTTCACCCTTCTCTCCCTTCCTTCCCCTTCCCTCACCCCACTAGGTTTATACAAACCAATTCCAAACCAGGATAACTCCAAGGCTCCTGAAGTATATTTATGTCCAAATGACTCCGCTCTCAGAGAAGGGAGAAGTGGGTTTGGACTAGGTATAGTAGACCTCTGGGCAAACAGAGAGTCTGTAATGTGTCGGGGATTCCCTTCTGGTAAGAATGACAAGTGGAGAAGTGTCCTGGCCTGCCACCCGAGGCAGGTGGACCAAGGTGGTAATACCTCCCTCACATCGTCAAACATGGAGACCCCTTACATTCATGAGAAAGCCTTATAGTAGGTCATGATGTCCATGCTCACACGGGTTCTTCTTATGGGCTCTTGTCAAAACAGAGCACTGCAAAGTCATCAATGGCCACATCTCTAAAGAACTAAAATGTTGGGACTAAACTCTACATTTTCCACAGCCCTCCACTTAGTTTTAAGCTACATATAAAAAATGCTTCATTTAAAAGCTCTCACCAGTTGCCCCACCCCCATGAGTTCATTCAAGAGCACGGGACAACCCTCTCTTTCATGATGGTGACCAACGTTTCCATTCAAGGTGTACACTAATAACTAGAATTTAAAGGACACCTGATAGAGGTAGATCATAGGAAGAAAAAGGCCTATGGCCATCTTCTGTTCTCTCTGTTGCTCATCAAACAGTGGGCATAACTCAAGAGGAACAAAGGCAGTTAAAGATCCTTCAGCCTTAAGTTTCCTTACCCAAGAACAGGGAGCTAAGGGAGGAGGCCATTCCTGTCATTCCAGTTTTAGAAGCTCCACGTCAAAGACGAGAGTGGCGTTTGGTGGGATGATGCCTGGGTGCCCAGTGGCACCATAGGCGTAGTCTGGGGAGATAGTCAGTTTGGCTCTCTGACCCACACTCATCTGTAAAAAGAATAAGGAAGAAAGGGTCAGCTGGACACACTCCTCAACTGTCTCTGCAGGGAGCAGAGCTTCTTACATGGCTTCTCTGTGGCCAGGACACTGTGGCTAGGACACTCCAGTGACTCTGTAGCTGCTTCCCCATGTGCAGGAGGTTGGTGGCCAGGCTCCACGATGCCTGCATCTCACAGCTCAGAGTCCAATGCAGTTAAAAACCCTTCTTGACTCACTCTCAGAATGGTCAGACCCTCAATCAACCTTTCTATCCAGGTTTCAATCATCTGACAATGGGGAGATAACTATAGATGTTTCCCCATGTAGCTCTTCGGTGGCCTGTCACTCAAAAGACGATATTAAGAAGCACCTAACATTTCTCTTGAAAGAGAAAAGAATATTTTGAGCAAAACTTTGCTTTAGTACAAAACAAATGCACAGGAAGTAATATTTGTGGTAGTCTACTGTTCTGCATTTTCTCTACTTCAACTTTTACATTAAGAAAAAAAGACGACTTATTTTTTAAAAATAGAACATGACTTTCTGAGGTACAAAAAAGTACGTACAGAATGATAAAGTTACCATTTATGTGAAAGAGAGATAATATTTATATATTTGTATCTGCCTGTATAAGCAGAGAAGGATCCCTGGTGGCACAAGGGTTAAAGCACTTGGCTGCTAAACAAAAAGGTCAGCAATTCAAACCTACCAGCCGCTCCTTGGGAGAAAAATGCGACAGTCTGGCTCCTTAAGGGTTTACAGCCTCGGAAACCCTACAGGGCAGTTCTATTCTATCCTATAGTGTTGCTATGTGTTGGAATCAACTCAATGGCAGTGGGTTGTTTTTCTTTTTTGGGGGGTTGTGTAATAAGAAAACATCTATGGAAGGACATCAACAATACCAGCATTTGTCTGTGGGGAGAATAATGTGGACAGTGGTCAGGATGAAGGCAAAGCTTTAAGTTTTTTACATATGTATTTTTTCATTTTCTAATCAAATACACACACACACACACACACACACAAACTAAACTCACTGCTGTTGAGTCGGATCCGACTCATAGCGATCCCTCCTTGGGTTTCCAAGGCAGTATCACTATGGAAGTAGATTGCCCAGTTTCCCTTCCAAGGAGTGGCTGGTGGGTTTGAACCGCCAGCCTTCTAGTTAGCAGTCAAATGCCTTATGTACTGCGCCACCAGAGCTCCTATCAAATATACGCGTTTTAAGTATAAATATTTATTTTCTATACAGTGAGCAGGATCTCTATTGAATTTCCATTTTTTCATCTGTTCTACTTTTATCCTCCACATGGGCATTCCTGGGGCTCTGACCCAGCTTGAAAGATGGAGACTAAAGAGACGCCGCAAGCTTAACAAAGCTTCTAATACAACTCAGAATCCTTATTTCTGGCAGCTCCCTTCAGAACTGGGACATGTTGGGACCAAGATGGTAAGAAGAAGACTGCAAGTGAAAGCATAGATTCCCACCATACCTGTCCTGCTCTCATATGGCTTTATCTAAGAAAAGTCACAATGATCATGTGCTTTGACCCAGCGATTCCATTTCTAGAATACGATGGGGACAATCTTAATGTCCATCACATGGAGAATGGTTACATAGGTACAGCCATACCACGAATGAGCTTTAAATGTACTAACATGGAAAGATGCCCAAGAGATATTGCTAGATTAAAAAAAAGAAAACCTAGTTACCAAAACAGTACTTTCAGCATGGTTCCCTATTTGCAAACACATAAAACCACAACAACAGCAAAAGAAAAGACGGATGAGACAAACCCTTCTTCTTTGCTTGCTTTGTGGAGGAGAGTTTTAAAAAAGTATTTTATGTAGGTCTCAGATTATCCAGACTTCTCACTGGTGATGGTCCCAAAGCCCTGGGCCAAAGGGGAGTTTGGGCTTCGCCTCAACACTTCGTCATGCCTTGCCAAGCCTGGGACTGAGAAACAGGCTGATAACACTATCTTGATGGCAGTGATAACAGGAGGGACACACAACACAGTTACTGTTCCAATGCTGGAACAGTCACAGAAGACGGGTTGTGTTATGGACAGTAGTTGGCATGGGGGACTGGGGATGTGCTACAGATCTAAGCCAAGCAGATGTGGCAGCATGGGGACAGAAAGGAAGCTGGGAAGGTTTCCAAAGGGAAGTAAACCACAAAGGTCCTTTCCCCTTCTTGGACTGCCTACATCTGTGAATGGGAAGGCTTAAAGTTTCTGAAAGTTAAGCAGTATACCTGGAGATGCACCAGGACATTTTAGAGAGGAAGTGGAGCAGTGTGTATTCTGGAAATTTGAAAGACAGGCAGAAATCTCTCTTAATTTTGGTGAAATCTGCAATTCCCCTTGGAGGGAGGGAGACAGACTAATTTACCATCATGCAGGGCCCTAATTATAAAGTCCCCTAGGTCTCAGGCTACTGTAAACATCCCTTTACCTGGTTAATGCCAAGAAAAATTCCTGGGATTGAGGGAAGGATAGAATCCAACTGAAATCTGGCAACCCTGAGTCCACTATTATCTCCTGGGAATTCTATAGTGTTGGCAGAACAAAGCTGTTTACAAAAATAGGGAGGGGTAGGTCAGGAAACAGATATAAGACAGACAAAATTACTTCTCGTCAAGTTTGACCTCTCAGAAAGGGTCTGACATAACATGGTCAATAATAAGACAAGCTCAGATTAAGACTCTAATGAGATACCATTTTTTCACGCATCAGTGTTCCAAAGCTGAAAGGTGAGTGGAACGCCACACTCTGCTGGCGGAGTGGTGAGGGAGACACAGGCACTGTCATATTCCTGCTGGTGGGAGGTCAAAGAGTATGCTCACCATGGCTGGCCGTATCTGGCAAAAGCTAATGCACACAGCCTTTGACCCCTCATTCATGTAAAAGAAACTCCATTCAAGGTGAGTCACTGCAGCACTGTTTACAGTAGCAAATACTAGATACTAGGAAACAAAAGAAAACAATCAAGAGCATACCTGGGCGACCCCTTCTTCCCAGCCTCGGATCACCTCCTGTTTGCCCAACATAAACTTAAAGGGCTTGTTTCTGTCCCGGGAGGAATCAAATTTCTTTCCATCTTCAAGCATTCCTGTGAGAAAGAGCAGTTGTAACATGAGCAATGGCATGAGGCAAGTCAGAAACCAGCAGCAAAGTACCGTCACAGTTGTCCGTACCAGAGAAGGAACCACGGTGTGTAGGGAGGACTTCCTGTGCCCTTACTAGGCAACCAGCGAGTTGGGGGCCACCCCAGACCTGGCAATGCACTGCTCTGTGACTCCAAGCAGTAAGGTGACCGTGAAGGATCTCCCGTCAGAAGCGAGTAGAAGTCCACCTTAGTCTGGACGGTGAGCATGGGTAAACTCGCCCCGCCTGCTCGGGATCTGGTCAGACTAAGAATAACTGTGGGCCCTTAACAGCTCACCTAACGGCTGAAAGCTACACACGGTACAAGAAGCAACAGTTATTCCCAATTCACCTGTCGCTTTTTAAATACAGTGCGCATAGACCCTCCTCACTCCTCTTCCACTATTCAGATGGGGCACATCTCTCTTTTGGGCAGGGTTCTAGTGGAGAGGACTCTCCTCCCCCCACTAGCCATCCTACAGTCTTCTCTGTGGCTCACTGAATGTGACCCATACACATTGCTGACCTCTAGGCTGTGAGTGACTGGGTGTTTGTGCAGAGGGAGGAGGGAAAAGAACCGACTCTGCACTTTGGATCTTGTGAGACAAAACTGTGAGGCAAGTTTTTGCTAGCATTTGGTGCGGGGTGTAGCACACTGACAGAAAACTTGGGCATAAGCGGGGCCCTTGGTGGCTGACTCTAAGGTATACATAATCTTCCTGGGGAAAACAAAAATCAACCCGGGCTGAGCCACAGAAATGAATGACTGGACTTGTTCTGCTTCATCCCACCCATTTTCTCCAGTGGCGCCTAGACCGCTGACAATCGTTTTTGCACAATTAACTCAAACAGAGATGGCTGAAGAGAACCGCAGTAGTAATGAGATTTAAATGGCTGCCCTCAGAGAATATATGCAGTAAACCCAGTGAACTGACGCCCCAACTTAACTGGCAGCAGTGCTTCCACTCTGAGCCAGAGACCGGGCTAAGTGCCTTCCCACCCAAATTCATTCAGTCCTCTCCACAGCACTGTCCCCTTTTCACATATGAAGAAACTGAGGCAGAGAGAAGTGAAATAATTTGCCTAACTACTAAAGCTAGACTATAAACCCAACTGCCATGTTCTTCCTAGTATGACAGTGTTTCAGAAGCTAGACAAACCACAGCATTGACTGCCAATGAAGGCGAACTCCATGGATGGAGATCTCACAGGATAAGTGACATGAGAAGGGAGACAGACACTTGCAACCTCATTTCCCCTTATCCAAAGGGACTGTCAGTACTGACTTCTCAGGAAGTTAGTGTTGGTCAGTCGTGAGAGTTGATCTTGAGAGCCTAAAAATTCTCACACCAGGACCCAGATTGGAAGGGGCCAGACAGTTTTTGACATATTATTAACACAAAACTGATTTTATTGCAGGATGGGGGTAGGCAACCACCATGGTTCTAAGCATCACTTAGAAAACCCAGCAAAATATAAAATTCTAGGGGTGGGGGTGGGGGTGTGTATGTATGTTTAGAGGAGGATGGAAATCCTGGCAAAATCTCATGTAAAAAATAATGTCAACACTTTTAAGTGGGATGGGGAAGCAGAGATCAGTTGAGCGCATTACAACAGCCAACAGACTATCTGGACTGTAACAAATAAGAAAACCGGTACTTCGGTAAGTAGCAAATCGGGTCTCAAAAGCTTGAAAATAGCCACATAGAAACAATTAGTCTAAGGGACTAGTAGACCATGCAAACCTCAGCCTACATGACCCTAAGACCAGAAGAACTAGATAGTGCCGGCTACCACTGCCAACCACTTGGAAAAGAATCAAAATACAAGATCCTGGATAAAACGGGAGAAAAACACGGAACAAAACTCACAATCATAAAAAAAAACTAGGTTCACTGGTCTGATAGAGACTGGTGAAACCCCTGAGACTATGGCCTCTAGTCACCCTTTGGGCCTGGAATTGAACTCACTCCCATGGCTTCCAGCCAAACAAATGACAGGCCTACAAGGTGAACAATTATACCAGGCAGTTACACTCCTTAGAACAATAAGCCATGGGAGACCAGCAGGGCAGTATCTGCATAGGGAGATAGCTCAGAGGGTAGAACTGCATAGGAAATGACACAAGGAAAAGGTAACCACCGGCAAGAAGTAGGAAGAGAACTGTTAGATTATGGAGACTGCAATCAATGTCATGGAACAAAATGGGTATGAACTGCTGAATGGAAAATGAATTTGCTCTGTAAACTTTCACCCAAATCACATTTTAAAAAAGTCGGAAGAGGGGCGATGGATGTCTTAGGGCAGGATGGGTGCTGACATTGCCTGCAGTCTGGAGCTGGGAGCTGAGGAACACGAGAGAGACAAGTAGTCAGCGACCTGCCTGGGCCCTAAGCCAGTTTAGAGCCAGCAACGGACACTAGAACTGGTGAGGCGGGGTACACATTTAACTCAACACTGCACGTGAATTCGCAATTGCCACCTGATAAAAGAAACCACCAATGGCACGACACAATCAGTTTCTTAAATGAACGATGGCGCAAAGACCAGGCTCTCCTCTGCACAACACCCACCGCACCCGTGGCCTTCAGCCCATTTCGAGCTCTGCTACGTTCACTGAGCCCAACCACAGAGTGAGCTGGGTGCAGGGCGAGAGCAGGCAACAAACCGCTGATTCTCAGAGCCCTTCTGGCCAGGCGGGAGCTTTTCCCTCCATCCTCGTGCAACTGCTCATAAGAGGAAAAAGTAAACCAACTTTAAGGCTCAGTAACCTGCCCAAAGTCAGAGCCAGGAATGGTGGGGCCTGCCTCTAGCAAAAGGCTAGCCCGAGGGAGACTGAGAGCCCTGAAGGAGACTGAAAACCAGAAAAAACCTCTTCCTGCTCTGTGCTCTTTAGGGGTTGCTGAGCAGCCATGGTCGGACAAGGCACAAGTCGAGAAAGCCCCCTAGGAAAAGACCAAGGATGGAAAGGTGCACCCTGCCCTCTGGGCCCTGGCTGGTCACAAAAGGCTGGCTGGACAAAACATACAAGAAAAAACATGTCCAGAGGGGCACCTGGCGCCAAGTCTGCACCACAATCCAGACCCACAGAAAATCCAGGCCCAGCACCCACAACCCCTCTTTTCTAAATGAACGTCAATTTTCCAGCCTGTGGCCCAGTTTGGGCACCAAGACCTACTGGGAAGTCTACTGTGGTCTTCCAGGAATGATTTACCTCATTAGTAAAAAGAGACACTCAGGGCAAAACTTCTCACCCTCCCTTCCTGTTTAATACGTTGTGTGAGGATGTGTAATGTCTGCAGCCACAGCAGCCACCTTGTGACTACAGGGGGTGGCAAGGTTAAGAGTACTGCAGAGGAGCTGCTATAGTGCTTAGTGTTGTTGTTGTTGTTATTTGCCGTCGAGTCGGCCCCGACTCATAGCGACCCCTTCCTTGGGTTTCCGAGGCAGTATCACTACGGAAGCAGGATTGCCCAACCTTAGTACCCAACCTCAAACCACCTTCCTCCAGACTTGTATTCTGAGGTGATTAAAAGTCTGCTCCGCCCATCCCAGTTAACTGGCCTACCATGGTGTTTAATGGTTGGAGACAAACTGCCTGAAGCAAAAGCAGGATAGTCAGAAATCCCATTCTATTGATTCTGACTCATGGCGACCCTAATAGGACAGAGTAGACAGAACTGCCCCACCGGGTTTCCAAGACTGTATATCTTTAAGAAGTAGACTGCCTCATCTTTCTCCCGTGAAGTGGCTGGTGAGCATAAACCACTAACCTTTCAGTTGGCAGCTGAGCACTTTAACCACCGTGCCACCATTACTCCTTAAAGCTGACACAGATGTTTGAATTAGTAGAAAAGGGTATTATGACCCAAACCAAACTTCTAGAGATGACAGCTATCACATCTAAGATGAAAAATATACTGGTGCTGGAACAACTGAACACCCACAAGAGAGAAAGTAAAACCCTGGATCCATACTTCACACCATAATCAAATATTAACTTAAAATGGAACTTCCAGAAGAAAACACAGAATATTTGTGAAGTTGGGTTAGGTAAAGATTTTTTTTTTTTAAAGATAACAATGCTTTTATAAAGCAAGATCCGTAAAAGAATAAACTGACAAACTGAACTTCATAAAAATAAAAAACATATGCATGTCAAAAGAGAATGAAAAGAGAAGCCACATGCTGGGAGAAAATCCCTGCAAAGCACACACCTAATAAAGAAGGTGTATCCGTCCAGACTACAGAAAAAACTCTAAAACTCACCCATAAGGAACCAAACCCAATTAAGAAAAAAGGGAGGCGGATTTAAACTGGTAACTTACCCAAAAAGATGTATGAGTGAAAAGATGCCCAAATCATACTCACTGCGGAAATGCAAATTAAAACCAGAAGGAGATACATAGTATCTACCAGTACTGGCCAGAGTGGTCCAAACTAAAAAAGACTGACCTCTCACATATTGGCAAGGTGTGAGGAACTGGAGCTCTCCTGCACCGCTGATGGGACTGTAAAATGGAACTACCACTGTGGAAAAGAGCTCAGCCATCAAGTTAAACATACACCTCCCATATGACCCTATCATTCCACTCCTGGGTATTTTTCCAAGAGAAATGACAATTATACATCCATACACAGCAGGCAGACTTATTTATAATAACCAAAAACCACAAAAACTTAAATGTCCACCAACCGGCAAGTGGATAAACAAATTATAGTATGTCCATACAAGAGAATATGATTTAGCAATGAAAAGAGAATGAATATTGATACACAGAAGAACCTGGATGAGTCGCAAGATAATTATGCCAAATAAAAGCAGCCAGGCAAAATGAGAATACATACTACATAATTCTATTTATAGAAAATGCAAATCAATGCATACTGACAGAAAGTATATCAGCTATTGCAGTGGGGTGGGGGCGGGGGGCGCATGGAAAGAAGGAATTGTAACCAAAAACA